CCCCGGCCGGCCGGGCCCTGAGGGCAGAGCGGGAGGGAGGCGAAGCGGGAGCGGCCGCCGCGAGGAGGCGGCCCGAGGGAGGGGCAGGGCAGGGCGCGGGGAGAAGGAACAACCAGGCCGCGGGGGACGATCCCCCCAGCGCTCTCCTTCCCCTCTTACCGACGGCGGCTTTTCCTCCTCCCTCGGCCTCCATCACTTCCTCCGAGGCGGGCTCTCCCCGCCGGGCCCGCCCCCGGGCTGAGGGGAGCGGGGCCGCGCTGAGAAAGCGGCCAGAGCCTCCATTTAAAAGGCCAGGAAGGACAACTCGGTTTCCTGCAGCTCGGGTGCCAGAGGGAGAAGGTTTACAAGGGGAAGTTTGTGCCCGAAGTGGCATTTTTTTACGGCGTTTTTCAGCAGGGGCCGTTCTCCATGTGCAAGAAGGTTCTGGGAGGCCTGGGCGAGCAGCCTGCTGTTGTTGGTCGTTACCAACCGTAAAACTCAGGTACAGAGATTGAAACAAACATGGAGTTGTGAACATTAGGAAGGAGAATCCAGGTGTTGTCTCCTGGGAGCCTTCCTACCACGAGTGTATCACTGCTTAGCTGTTTCTGAAGCAGCATACACAGGTATCAGAGTAAAAGATGTGAAATGTACATGAAAAAAAGCAGTGCATCTGCACAGAAACAAACTTATCTTTGTACTTGGACCATTCTGGGACACTGCTGTGACCTGGAGACAAGGTTTCAAATCAGTGTCTTGAGTGTTTCAGGTTATTATGAACTCAAGAGCCTGTCATCACAGTGACCAGCAGCTCCCCAAGGCTGCTGCTCCTTTGAAATGGTTCAAAACACACACTAAAGCAAACTTCTCTTTTCCTAACAGGACAAAGCAAGCTCAGCCCACAGGCTGATACTCTCAAAAAAAGCAGCTGTCACACAACCACACCTAACAGCAGAATTTCAGCAGTTTTGTGACCACTTGAAGCTTTGTACCTTCCACCACTCCCCTTGTCACAGTCAGCCCAGAGGTTTGGCTCTGCTGTGACCCAAGGCTCAGTTGATGCAGCATTACTGTGTGATCTTGCTCACTTGAAGCTTTGTACCTTCCACCACTCCCCGTGTCACAGCATTACTGTGTGACCTTGCCTGAGTTTTATGGAAAAACTTGTCCAGCTATGAGAAAGTACATGAGCTAAAGTCATGAAAGACAAGCAGGTAAGGTCACAAAAGCATGGCATGGGAGTTGGTAGCTTGTGAAAGATTCAAGAGAAAAGATACGGAAGAAAAACAGAAAATGTAAAGATGACTCTGTAAAGCTGAGGATCAGCTCATACCAACAAATGGCAGAGACCAGCTTTCCCCCACTCTATGGGAAACTTGCTGGGCAGCTAAAACTGATCAGTTTTCTTACCAGAAGCAGTAAGCATATTGCTGTTTAGCCTAGTAATCTGTTAGTCCTAGCTATCTATTCTGCATATTAGCTGATAGTTACTTACATTGTGTGTATCCTGCTTACAGAGTCTCTGTGTGCACGGGAAATGACACCTGAACAAAAGCAACCCATTGATCGTGAACTGCATGCTCTCCTGCTAAAGTACTTTCTCCTTCCATTCAACCACTATAAACAATGAAAAATGAAATTTAAAAACATCTGTCCATACACAGCAGTTAGTTATTGCTGATACTGCAAGACAGCCAGAACTGAGATTGTAGCAGCCACCCAACAGCTTGGCTACATTTATACAATTTCAATTTTTTCCATTATTACTAAGCACCAGGTGTACATCAATGGTATCAATTGCAGAAGAACTCGTATAAATAAGGCAACAACATAAAATATATAACACTTTCTAGTAAAAAAGAAGGTAAATGGAATTGCTGTTACATTTTTCCATTTACCATTTCCGTGGAGTTTGTTATAGAAGAGGCACTGGTCCACAGGGAACAGTGAGCTTTACACTGAAATGTTTATCTCCTCTCTTTTTGTGACATTGCATTCCATCTACTTAAAGACCAGCCTCAGTCTTGCCTGAGGATCATTTACTTTTATTAGAGTGGAAAAGAAATATAAAGTGTTAGATCCTGAAATTTCTATTTAAATTCCCATTACGGTTTAATGTTAAATAGCATAACAGCTTGATTTCTCCCTCCTCTCATTAAATTTTGAACAACTGAGATAAAAATTGGAATATATTAAACACTTCCACTTACCAGTTTAAAACACTGGTCAGTCTCTGCCAATAACAAGAAATAAAATATCTGTATGTAAGTAATAATAAAAAGAGATAAAAATTAAGAGCTGTTTCTAAATCAAGGGCCACCTTCAGGTCTTGTTACCATCAGTACCAAAAAGCTATCTGAGCAATATTCTGGCAGTTCTGCCATGTGAACAGAATGCACTTGCAGAAAATATATTTTTATCTTACTCATAAGTTCAACTAATTTTTATATGTATCAGACAACTGCACAAAAATATTCAAGGTGATAACCAGGGCTTTCATAGTTGAGTTGCTCCCATTTCTTCTTTACCTCTAGATGAGTGCCATGCCAAATCACATTAGTTACAGCAAGAAGAAGAAAAACAACCGGTGTTTAGCTGACTCAGCTGTGACTGTGACTTGCCTTCAAATACCCAGAACTTGGTTTCTTAATTATGCAAGTGGAGTTTAATTCGCACAGACCTCAAATACCCAGTGACTTGGGTATCTACTGTTATGTGCACATGTACACAGAAGTGCTAAAATTAAAGCTACAATCATACTTTCACAAAAATTTCAGGAGTAGCTTCAATTTCAGCTGAAGAAGTGTTAGAGGAAAGAAAATATTTCAATTCTGAATAAAATTCTAAGTAGAACTAATAGGCTTGTATCTACACTCTGCAAGAATATCTAATAAAATACCTAGTATATGGCATTCAAGCAATACCCTTTATATACATATATATATATAAAACAGCTATCATGCCCCAAAACACATTATTTCTCATACAGGAAATTAATTATAGACCTTAAATCTTGGTTTATTCTTTGCACGTGCCTTGTTCATTAGACCACCCTGTACTTAGATTTTTTTAAAATGGATAATCTACCAAAAAAGCACAAATGAAAAATAACTAAGAGAATACTGCTGTGTCATTGTCCTGTTCAGTATCATAGGAAGAATTTTACTAACTGGTCACACAGAAAAATTCATTTATAAAAATCTTAATTGACATAGGAGAATGAAAAACTGTGCAATTTTATAGGTAATTCACTGATGTCAGAGGCAGAGTTTGCCTTATTTAAGTGTTCTGTGCTTTCTGCATAAGCTGCTTCTCCAGCCTCAGCAGCTAACAAAAGTTAGTTCTGCAAGTTTTATTAGGGACATGGATGGTGGAAGCAGGGCCTTTTTATTTAAGAATCCAAAAATTTATTTCAGTCTCAGCACAGAAGGACTTAAATGACACACATATCACAGCTTCAAACCACCCAATCCAAGAGATTTCTTCAGAGATTATATTTTTTTCCTTAAAGTCTTAAAATTACCATCTCTCTTGAGATTATATAGTGGCTTTCTATTCGTAGCACATTTATCTCTCTCATGCACATACACTTCCTACTCAAAACAAGACCCAGCAAAACCCTCTGCCCACAGTTATAATTCCCAGGAGAACTTTCATATGCTTTTGTTTTGGGCAGTGACAATGTGCATATGTTTTGATTTCAGGCCCTCCCCTGTTGGTTCTCATGCTTCAGCTTAATGGAGACAGACCAGCTATTAAACTCACCAGTTTCAGCAAGCATTAACCCAGCTTCCAGAGTTCCTCTGACCTTGCAAGATGAAGTGAGATGTTTTTTTAACATGTTGCCTATTCAAGAATATTACTGAGTAAATTATATTTTGGTTTAGCAAATACATTTTCCTATTGGTGTTTGGTTTTAGAAGTGTAAGGTGGTTGGATTCCTATAAAGTTCATATGATAAAGAAAAAGATTAGTAAATTAAGTAAGTGCTATGAAGAGAAACAGCAAAGTTACCCTTGAGTTTCCTTAAGTCAGTAAGGAGAAGTCTAAAAGCAGTGGCAACATGATAGATATGTTTTTGTAGTTAAGTCATTCCTCATGATTAAAGTGAATTACAACTGTGCTAAATATAGACAATCCACAGAGATACAATAAAATTGATTCCATTAATTTTCTGCTTATTTGTACATAAACAGGTTTCTGATGAAAAAATCTCACTGGGTATTTTGCAAGAAGTTTCTTAAGCCTTTCCTGTCTTCCTAAATAGTCCTGCATGCCTGAAGAAAGGAAAAGAAGTTTGGGGCAGTCCCAGCCAGTTGACCAGTCAGAGTTCTATCTTTACTACAGAGACATAACAATTATTGCTTTGAAATTTACATGAATCACAAATCACCCCTCTCATGTGAATCCAGACACATCACAGTTTGAAGAAAAAAGGGTGCCCCAAGTGAAGAAGTTTGCAACAGATACATGATTTATAATACTGTTTGGAACTGAAAGACAAGATTTCACCTTCTGGAGCATAGATTTCATGGATTCAAATTCCAACACTGTGGTTGTAACTGGTAAGACCTTTATTTTTTTCTTCTTTTAGCTGGAGATGGTTTGCACATGTGCTTGATCTTTGCTGTAAACAGTTCCTGGAAGGGAAAACCGGTAGCAAATGGCCATACTAACAATTCCAAATGGAAAATAACTTGCTGCTGTGCCTTCCTAAGAAAATCAGATGCATGTCAGAGGCAATAGACTGCAGTCTGCCCTCTTTGCTGCCATCCAGTTTGGTTTGTTGTTCATTCTCTCCACGTTTTAATCTTTTTTGACATTCTCTATGATCCAAACCACATAGCTGAAGGCAGTGCAGGCTAGTATTGGACAAAGCTCACCCAAAAGGAGCTCTGAAGCAAGAAAACCAGGTTGCATCACAATGTCACACAGTCACAGTCCAGAATTAGAGCAACACATGGCAAGTTTCAGGGTCTCAGTTTCACAGAAAGGTAAGGGAGACGTAAACTGGAGATGCTGCCTCATCACTGCTAAACCAGACCATTAAATTTAAATATACCAAAGGAGCATGCCTGAACATGCAGTGCAAGGGACCAAATTTGGGAGTTTCACTTGCTGGCTAGAACTACTGCTGAATCACAGTGGCAGAGCCACCAGCTAGAGACTTACGAGCTGTAAAAGGTTAAAGGTCTTAAGGAATGCTGCTACTCA